CCAAACTGTAATTAGTAAGATGGAACTCTCTGCTAATTTTAACGTTAAGTTCTGAATAAAATAATTTAACGAAAATAGATTGATTCAATCAACATCGTATTTCTAGGGGAGCCCAAGTGTATCATAGTAGTATTCAGAGGAAGAACACATCACTATCATTTGAACCGTTCTTCTACGTTCTGCTCATCTGTACCTTATTGTGCTAATTAAGACGTTCAATACCATGCAGTGTGCAATGACTGGGATGGGCTTACCAGTTTTTGATTTCCAATGATCGATGCAATGCCTGTAGCACACGGGGCTTCGGTTTATTTACTTTACTTACCTTGGCATGTTCCTTTAACAACGATACGATGATTATCCACATGTGGGTTTGGGCGGGGGCATGGAATTTAGACATACGATGATCCAATTAAATATTGCGTCTAAACAAATAGATACAGGACTGTTGTGTGATAGAAATTATGACAGAAATTCATATTAGAACAAATGCACAGTAGTTAAAACTATATATATATATATATACATGAACTAAATGGATACAGGTAAACTATGTTACTTCAGTTAATTATAAGCTTACCATAGAAAGGGGTTCCCAACCACTTGGACGACAAGTGTTCTGTATATTAATTAATCTATTCTTAAATTTACAAAGTTACAAAACTCTAATTAAACCAGACTCTACATAATGACAAATAGATAAATAATTACAAATATATAGTCTTTGAAATGAAGACTTTACTAAATATAACATATACAAATAATGCCTTAGTTAAAACTATTACTTGATTTTATGATTTACTAATTACTGAACACTATCACCTAGACCAATAATTAATATTTTAATGCTACATTGAGATATATTAAAACCTATACATACCTTTATATTAATTTTGGTTCCTAATTATATTAATGAAATATTAAATATAAACTAACTTAAAACCATAAACTATTACTAGCTTGTAACCTCCTCAAACCAAGTAAAGCTAATAAGTGACAATATTTGATAAGACAGGTGACCAATGGGGAACCAAACTCGCAAGTTGTCGTTCCTTGATGTAGATGGCGCGACGGCTATTGCTTTCCCGCGATTCTAGCGACGTCTGCAATAATGGCTGATCGTGTAAAGAATAAGCGTGATTATGGTTTATGGGACCTGATTAAACTACGAAAGGAATTGAAATCTAGAGGGGGAAGGTATCTGGAAGAAAGAATGATTTAATCGAAAGGTTCGTAAGGTTCTTTGATTATTTTCAGCATCCGTTAACTAGATATCTTAGATCGATAGGCCTACGGCCGCTGTCAATGGAAAGCGAAAGTAGTTAAAATGACAGGTGGCCATGAGTCTTTCACGGTTCCACTCCTTCGCAGTTGCGGGGTGTGAAT